ATCGAACTCGTGCTACAGTGGCTGCGGACTGCTTCATAGTGCTGACACTTAACCCCTTGCCCCACCAGGGAAGCCCAAGACATTTATTTTCTGACTGTCATTGTAGGAGGAAAATGAAGAGGGCTGTGCAAGGCAAGCTCGTGGGGGAAATGCCTTAGGCCAGAGAAGTCTCTGGATAAATTGGCTTCAGGAGATAATGCAATTTCAGGAAAGTTAGACACCAGTAGGTGGGATATCCTCATCCATAGGAATATTATCAGTGAAAGTACAGATTCTGGAAGGCATAGCTTTTGGCACAATGGTTGTACAGTGAGCACTTACCTAGGCTGAGATGTGGCGCTTGTGCAGAATAACATGAGTTCATGTGTGGGCAGACACACAAGCCACCGGGCAATCCTGAAATGCCCTTTTGACTCCATGTAACAGAAATGGCAACCCTCAACCATTTTTGTCCCATAGACTTGTTTTTTGGCATTAAAAATTTTGTGATTTGATGTTTTTAAAGAAATCTGGTACTTTCAGTTCAGTGGTGTACCACCACATTTTATTGTTGATTTCGAGAAGGTAGGTAAGACAGTCTTCCTACCTATTCTAGATGGCATGCATAGGGGTTAGTTATCTACATCCTCGGAAGATGGACTTAATGGGTCTGTGTCCTAGTTTTGTCATGTGTTAGGCGTGCAGCTTGCTTATGTCACTTAAACTTGTTGAGCTTCAGCTTCATCACTTGTAAAATAGAAATAATCCCTAACATACGGGATAGGATAAACCCCCGTAAACAAGTAGCATAGCACCAGGTATCCTGTAAACACGGAGTAAATGTTAACTGTAATTAAATTATGCACCTGGACCTTGAAGGCATTTGAGTTTGCAAGCTCTACTTTAGAACTACTGAAAGTTGTTGAGAAAGGAAATAACATTTTTTTTATATGTTGAGTCCTGAAGTACTGGACTAAACCCTACTTAAATTGTAATGACTAGTCCAAGGGCCTCAGATAATTCTGGCAATTCTGTTAAATCCTCAGCTGCTGATATTAGTTTCCAGTGATGAGCTTCGGTGTAATTTCCAGAAATGAACCATTTACTCATCCACTCACTCTTGAGAGGGCCAATGGAGAAACAGAATTTAAAGCCAGCTTTTAATGTGTTATCTTCCAAACAGCCAGGGATTGTTACAGAATAACTGCTGGGTGGGAATGATGGCTTGCTTCACTGTTAGGACATATGAGTTTGATCTTGAATATCTTTACAATTCCAAAAGCTGCTCTGGTAACTGGACAGTCTTCAATAAAATGGAAAAAGGACAGAGTTTAACATAGAATTGCCCCCCTCCCCCCAAAAAAAATAAAAACAAGAGCTTGACCATGTGAGGATAATCATTTCAAAAGTACTAGAGTGAACAAAACAAGTCTTTGGTGAAAGTGCTATGTATTTAATAAACAAGGGCTGCTAATTACATAACTGTCAGCGGTGTTTTCTGGCATAATCTAACACCAGTTTCTTGCATTACAGCAAATAAAAAATGCCTGGAAGTAAATCACAGTTGCTGAGCTCTGTGGGCAAACAAACCCAGGCCTTATCTCTTTCAAAGGCAGCCGTAGAAAATGCATAATAAATTGCATAGTTCAGTGAACATATTTTGTCATTGTGAAATGATTTTGATTCATGGTTATGTATTTATCGCGAAAAAAATTGACAAAGCTCAAGGTATCAGAGGTATCATTCATGGGGGTCTTGATATTTTCTTTTACAAAATTCATATGCTTCTAAGTGTCACTTTCTTTTTTCAGTTTTTTGCTGAAAGTATGATTTTTCAGAAATCTTTGGAAATAATTTTTTAATTATGTGAATTCCTGCCAAAAGTGTCAAAGAGCTATGCTAGTGACTAATATTTTAAACATACTGAATAATTCATTTTTTTACTAATACCCTTCCATGAAAATTTTCGTAGCTGAACATAGACAACGGTGTAAGCCAACCTGATTTTAAAATAAAATAGAAATAGGATCTGCCTTCACATAGCTGATCAATAAAGAAATTTCTGGGTGTTGTTTTTTCACAATAATGGTAGAATTAAGAGTGAGAGAAATACTATAAGGAAGATTTTACAAAAGTGGCTTTTGTACATAATTACTTTCCCATGGTCAAGATAGTCTACTGTTCTGTCTTTATTTCTTGTTGAATCACTGAAGCTTAAAGTATCACATAGTTGTCATTTTCCACCTAAAATTTACAGTTTATTTCATACTAATTTTTCTCTTCTTTTGTGCTTTTGCCATCAGTAGTTGATGGTTAAAATCTTTTCTTCTAGTGTCAAAACAGCAGGAAGATAGCCTGACAACTGATGTGCCCTCGGACTGTTTATTATTTTTTTTAATCATTTAAACTAAAAACAACTGTGCCTCAAGTGGTTGTTTTGTTTTCCCTTTGGTAATCATAAAGTTCTTCTACGCTTATTTTTGTAACCAAGTGCCTTAACATTAAGGATTGTGGATAGTGATAGTCACTGCATTGAGAGCTTAAGAACAATGAAAACCTTGGCTGGTGGTAGAAAAGAGAAATTATTTCTTAAGCACATTAGAAGGGGCTTTGGTATTTCTAATATATCACCATCACTGGGACCTGAATTCATTTTATTTTCTCTTAGTATATTTTAACCAATTGACCTTTACATATACTTTGCATTTATTAAATTAGAATAAATTTCAGTAACCTAGAAATCTGGTTTGAAACATTCATAGTATTTTTCTTTTACCCTTGGAGTATGACAAGCCTATTCTCTAAATATTTACATCATTGGAGAATATCTATGTACATATGCTGATTTTGGCTTAACATTTTCAAAAATAAGTCTGCTAAATTAAATGTAAGCTTTCCAGCATAAAACCGTAGATCTCGTAACTTGATACAAATATTGCCACCTGCCTTACAGCGTTTTCCTAAAAGATTTTTATGCCCTTTACTTCTGCCTCCCTGGTCGCTTTCACCTTTCTATTGAAAACTCCCAAAATGTATCTATATGAGGATGATTTTAAAACACAAGATTTATGTTGCCATAAAGAAGAAATCCTTTATAACCTCATAAAACCATTGTCACCAGAAATTTCAACCTAAGTTTTACGTGAAAGAGGACATATTTTATCTTTAATGCCTCGTTAAACTTACTGGAAATGGCAGTTTTTTTAAAACATCCTGGGTGAATGACTACATACGTCTGTATTTCTTCTGAAAAGTTCAGATATCGGTGATGAAAACTAACAATTCATTTGTTTTAATAATTAGAGCAGTGGTGTTTTTCTTCTATTTAATTTTGCCTTTATGTGTCAATATTGCCTTGATGTGTCAGCCAGGTCTTTCTTGCAGTTTTTTGAGTGGAATAGCCAGAACCACCACTCCCAAGTTAAAATGATACCCTGACTGTTTCCGTGGTGACATTGTGTGATACCCAGATTCCTCCTGTATATGTGTGTGTATGCATACACACACACGGGCACACCTATATGTGCACGGATCATGTGGCTTCACAACAGAGGGCTCAGGTGTGCATGGCTGTGGGTACAGGTTTGCTCATACATACATGTGCAAGAAAAGCTGCACTGAGGTTAAGAACATTAACTCAACCTGCCTGTGTTTGAATCCAGCCCTACTACTTCCTAGTTATATGAATTTGAGCAAATCTTTTTATCTTCTTACTTCAGTGTTGTAAGACTTAAATAGGCAACTCTGTGTAAAGGATTTTGGACATCTAATCTATGGTTAGCAGCTAATAAAATACTAGCTATTACTATTATATCATCATATATTAATTTACTCTATTTTATTCCTAAAGTCATTTATACACTGGTGCATTGGTGCAATCATTACATACGTATTTCACTGAAGTGACATTAAAGATATGCTGACAGACTATTTCAGACTGTGATCATTTAATTAAGTAGGCTATATTATGTAATGCATCATTGATGAGGGGAAACAGTCATAAAGAATGGAAGTTGCATAATTTTGTGCACACAGATTACACATCAAACACAGTGAAATGCGTTCATTTATTCAAATGTGGGACTATTGTGTGTCCGCTGTTGAGAACTCATGTCCACTCAGACTGGCATTATACAAGCTTTATTCACAACTGCCAAACTTTGGAAGCAACTATGGTGAACTTCAGTGGGTGAATGGAGAAATAAGTTATGGTACATCCAGACAACAAAATGTCACCTGAACTAAAAAAATAAAATAAAAAGAGCTATCAGAGCATGAACAATCAGAGAAGAAACTTAGATACATTTTTTTTAAGTGAAGACATCAATCTGAAAAGGCTAAATACTCTCAGACATTGTCTGAAAGGCAAAATTATGGAGGCAGTAAAAAGATTCATAGTTTCCAGGAGTTAAAGGTGGGAGAAGTATGAATAGGTGAAGCGCAGAGGATTTTTAGGGCATGAAACTACTCTATATGACACTCTAAGGTAGACATGTTTCATTATACCTTTGTCCAAATCCATGGAGTACACTACCAAGACTGAACCCTTAATGGAACTGCGGTCTCTGGGTGATAATGATTGATCCGTGGAGGTTCTTCGGTTGTCACAAATGTAACCCTCTGATGGGATGTTCATGAGGGGGGCTGTGCAAGCGTGGGTGAGGAGTATATGGAAAATCACTCTGCATTCCTTTTACTTTTGCTGGGAAGCTAAAGTTTCTCTTTAAAAAATCCCATGGAAGGGAATAGCAAGATAAAAATAGAACAAAGCAAAAAGAACTTTTTCAAAAATTGCAAAAACATGTACCAATATATAACGAACTCCTCAAGAAAAATGTCATCTAAATGTTAATGACCATCACCACAAAGTCCCTCATATTACTACAATAAAATAGTCAATTTAATGATTTTTTAAGACGACACAGGTTTGTCTCCAACCACTAGGAAAGAACAGCTTAGGGGAAACCAGATTTGCAGTGTCATGTTAATTATGCCCATTGAAAGTGAGTTTTCTTTTTCAGGGAGCCCCTAAACCCATAGCCATTGAACCCTGTGCCGGGAACAGAGCCGCTGTTTTGACTGTGTTTCTTTGTCTCCCGAGAGGACCATCAGGTGCCCCTCCACCTGGGCAGTCAGGTAAGAGGAATGATCTTTACCCAAAGAGCATGGACATGTCTGCATTGCTATCAATTTAGATTTGCCAAAGTTTCCCTTAAAAAGACACGTTGAGTATATATGTGTGTATGATTTGTTTTTGTAACTACTCAACAAGGTCTTGACCTTTGGGCCAGGTTGTTTCCCAATGTATATGTCATATAGGATGTCAAATTATGACTGTGATTGGAAGCTTGCTTCATAAATAGGAAACAGAAACTGGGGAACTTTCTTGAGTGGCATCCGGGGTGATAGCTTGATGCCTCCAGCACACTGTATTCAAGACACGTTCTGCATTGGCTGCTCAGGTATCTCCCAAGATTCAGGCTCCAGCAGCAAAACCTTCCCCCCAAAAAAAGACATGTTCTTACTTTTGGCACCAGACAAGTGGAGTTTACAGGCCAGAGGACCCTTTGCATCTGATTCTTCTTTTAGTACTTGACCAGAATATTTTCAATTTGGAGGTAACTCTCTAGGCCTTCCCATTGCTGTGATGTAAACATTGCAAACATGCTTCGTGTGGAGTGTGGCTTGTAATTAAATCACAAGACAGGCTTATTTCTCTCATTTTACATATCTTAGTCCATCCACTTGAGGTTTCTAATTGGTCTGTCTCCCAATTGCTTTCTTTATCTAACTCTTAATGAAATGGATGTTCACTGAGGGTAAGGGTGATTTCAAATCTATCATGCACTTCAGTCTCTTAAGTATTAAATGAAATGCCAGCGATCTGGCAGGTTCTCAAAAATAACAATTGATGATGCACTTGCCCTCCCACTTAATCTTTTCTTTATTTCCTGGTTAGTTTGGACCTTGCTCTTTCACTGTCTTATTTGTATCCACCCAGACCCACAAATGGAAGCCACACTACTGTGTACCTTGTAAACTTAGGATATCCATCTAAGGAAATGTTTCCCATGTGGGCACAGAGGATTCCCATCACCTGTGAGCTAGTCATTTATGGTACCTAATGATATCTTATTACAGGAATGCCTATTCAGAGTTCATTTGTAGGTGTTTATGCAGAGAAATTAACATTCTCTGCACCTTCTCATCCATTGAATGAATGCCTCCTCCTTTTAGAACCGCGAAGGTAAATGGGATGCAGTAAGTAGAATAGTTTGGCATCGTTCAGATGAGATAGGTAATTATAGGTACAGTGCCCAGCTAATGGAAGGATTGTTTTAAGACTGGGATGATTTCCAAAACAAACACTTCACTAATGAAAACAAGTCTGTGATACACACCAAGGTTCTTCGAGATCCTTGACAAGATGATGTTCTGAAGGGCAGACAGAAGGCAACTGCCAATACTCCATCCCTTTAACCTTTGAAGTCTTTTTTGACTGATATGAAAAAGCTAAGCAGCGCTGTGGACCATTATCTTAGCTGTGTTTTATTACAGATGCATTATGACTACTTATGATAACACCATCTTAGATGTGTAGAGGGTTTTACTCTTTAGAAAGTGTTTTCCTATTATTTGCATTTGTTTATATGAAAATTCTGTGTGTGATAGATATTACAAAACTCACTTTATAAATGAAGGAATTGAGGCATAAGGATCTCCTATTGCTATACTCCCCAACTCTAGTTGGGGGAATACTAAAATATAAAGCAAGAGAACAAAAAACATTACTGCCAACATTCTAGATAATTCTTCCTGGTGATATGTAACAGAGAGCTTATTTCTCTATAATCTACAACCTATGCCTTCACAATTCAAATATTTAGGGGAATACTGAAAATGTCTGTTGGAATAGTATAAGAGGTAAAACCTTGAGTTAACCCACTAGACTTTCTACAGAGCCTGTAGATTGAACTGTGATGAATGTCTGTATGCATAATTCAGGGTGACCTGTTCCTCATTAAAAAAATGTAATTTTTTTTAAGTTATCCATTTAGGAGTAGAAATTTTTTTTTTCATTTTAGTTTGCAAAATACATTATCATCTGCTATCTGCAGTCTACTTGGAAATGCATCAAAAATATGATATTTATAGTAAGATGGATAGTTAGACAGGTAAGTTGTAAAATAGGTTAAATAAATGTTAATGTTAGAATCTAGGTGCTAGGAATACTGGTGTCCATTGCAAAATTCTTTTCAGTTTTATAGTAACACATTGGGGAAATATAAAACCCTTGACCTCACTGCAAAAAAAATGGGGTAGTTTCTGTGGAGAAAAATTTTCAGTTTCCACACCTGGGTTTTCCCTGAGCAAGGCAAATGCTGATTCTGATGCTCAAATTAATGACTTTTTCCCCCACTCATCAATGTATTAGGTATGCTCACAGCCAATTAAAACTTGATATAGTATCATCCAATACCTGAGAAGTGCATTCCAGTAACTGTTTGGGAATCATATTGGCTCTTGGGAAGGAAATGTTGACACTGATCATGTCATTGCTGGAATTCAGCTTATCTCTCATCTTTTGGGTTTTTTTTAAAGATTTATTTATTTATAAAAGAACCAGGGTACAGGTCAGAGGCACAGGATGGTGAGAGGATTCACCAGAGACAGAGTGGGGATCAGAACAGGCAGACAGACCGAGGACACTGCTGAGGGGAGCAGCGGACGAGACAGGAGAGGTCTGTCACGCCATGTGAGTTGCTCCCTGGCCGGCCGGGAATCAAACCAGCGCTGCAGAGACTGTGGATAGCTTCACAGCGCTGCGCTCAACCCCGTGCCACTGGGGAGGCCCTTATCTCACATCTTTACAGGACTTTCATCTGTCTGTCTGTGCTTATAACAGTGTCCTGCATGTGAATGCAGGTTACAATGCTTTTGATGGTGATGATGATGATGATGATGATGATGATGATGATGATGATGATGATAGGAACCTGGGAGCAACCACTTCCATCTGTGAGTCTCAGTGAATGGCAATACCATGGGGAATTGTATGAGAATTCATCACTCTTTCCCACGTTGCTCTCCTAGGAGCCTTAAGTTCTGAAGAGCCTCCTCTCATTCAGGTACAGGCTCAGAGGTTTGGGGAAGTTGTGAAGGTGAGAGGGAGAGCTTTCTGGACAGACCAGCTGAGTCCATGCCTGCCGTGTGAAGGGCCCGGGGGCAGGAGTCCTCCCTGGCTCAGGAACTGTTTGTGTCTCTAGATGTCAGCACAGCTACTCAAGGATTCATTAACAATAATTATTAGATTAAATGTCCTCTTGTAGTTCTGTGCATAATCTCAAAAGTTTTTATCAGGCCCTTTTCTGAAATGTAGCTTCCTAAATGTCGAGTGATACTTTTCATAATGCACTCTTCATTACTGTGAATAAAAGCATTTAAGGGAAGGGCAATTTGGAAATTATGAGAAGGCAGAAGCATCCTATCACTGTGGTGGTTTTCCTCAAAAACTGAACTTCAGCACTAACAAGTGAGTGGTTCAGAGACAGGCTGGTGCTATCTTGGTCATCTCTTTTTCAGTAGCAGTTGGTATTTGTTGGTGTTTAAAATATGGCATTGTTTTTGGACTGCATTCTCTTTTCACCCGGGGTATTCCAATAATAACTAGACATGGCCCTTTCTGTGTCTAGACACTAGACATAGCTCTCCTCTTAACAAAGGTCAAGGGGAAAACTGCAGGTTCATCCTCTAGATTATCCCAAGCACTAATTCCTTTTAATATAATGAATGTAAGTATTTGTGAGCAGCTCTCCCTGTAGGTGGTTTACAAGTGTAAAAGCAAAAGATATTAAATAGGCTTTTTGGCATTCCTGGAGCTCACTAATTAGGTTCCCTGCCCCATAAACCTGCTGCTTCATTCCTGTGTTTTTGTGAGCAGCCCTGCCAGCCTCTCTGGGGTTAATGTGGGATTTCTGCTGTGGACATGTGCACGCTGAGTAGTCACTTTCTCTTCTGACCTCAGAGTGGTTGAAAAGCTGATGTCCCCATGAAAACCAACCAGATCAAGTAACTCTGCTGCGTGACACTCAGCAACCAGGCCTGTTTCCTACTGCTTGGGACAGCTCGGTCCCCGAGCATTTTAGAGTCACATTAAGATGAAATGTGGACAAAGTAAATAGAGCTCTTCAAAAGCATAAATTGAAAATGATAATGACTGCTGTCACTCTGTGATGAAGGAATACGGATTTCAGAGCTTATGGGTTCTTAGTAATAAGAAAGAAATTAACTTTTCTCACTGGATTAAAATTCCCAGTGGTTCAAATGTCCACTGCCCAAAAGGGTGACCTGCTTCAACTCAAAGTAGAATTTTCCCTGACCTTGCCTCATATTCGATTGACTAACATTCACAAAGAGAATACTGCTAGAAAGTCTGAGTTTTCTAATTATTTCCTTTAGGCTTAGACATTGGCAGGATGACCAGATTACTTTGAACAATCTAGAAATATTGTTAAATGGTAAAAATCATACTCTCTCCATAGTGTCATAGATACATGCATAGAATGTGTGCCTCTGCACCCAAATACAAATAATGACAAAAAAGATACTTTGGCTTAAGTAACTGAAAAGAGGTGACAGAAAGAGCACTAGTAATTTAGAGCATTGTTTTGGGTGCTTTGTAGACGTTCTTGGATTGGCCTTGTAAAAGACTCTAATGAAGTCACTATTATCCCACTTTTACAGATTTTTTTCCTTGTTTATTTATCTATCTATTTATTTATTTGTTTGTTTGTTTGTTTGTTTGTTTATACAAGCACTGGGTACAGTCAGAAGCACGGGAGGTTGAGAGAATTCACCAGAGTCAGAGCGGGGAGCAGAACAGGCAGACTGACGAAGAAGTACACTGCTGAGGGGAGTGGCAGGAGAGGTCTATGCACCATGTGGGACCCTCACCAGTGGCCGGGGATTGAACCTGCACTGCAGAGGCTGCGGGCAGCTTCGCAGCCCAGTGCTCAACCGCTGCGCCACTGGGGAGGCCCCCACTTTTACAGATTTTAAAAAGCCCTGAAACTCAGGGGAGATTAAATTATTTGTCCAGGGCCAATAGAGCTAGTTAGTGAGGGGCCTCCCTGGTG